GGGCGGCTGCCGAGTTGGGCAGCACGGAAGCTGCCGGCGGGAGCGGAGCTGCGAGGAGATGGCCTTTGAGGGCAGCGCGGGGTCGAAATCCCGTCCCAGCGCTGTGACCTCTTGGAGCCCACGTTTCCTCTTTGGTGGAGGGGAGGGAGTGGTCCAGATTCAGAGTCCCTTGCAGTTCGGAGCGGAGTCTGGGAGCTGAATGACCCAGTGTGCAAGGCGCACCTCGGAGACAGAAAGCAACCTCTCCCCCGGCTTCAATTTCACACCACCTGCAGATACACGTCTCAGAATTTGCGGCTAGAAAGACCTGGGCCGCCAGAAGCTAAGCGTGTGCATTTTATCATCGGCCCTTGGTTTCTCGTTTTAGAGTGAGTTCCCACCTGCCCTACCTAAACTGACCTGAAGCGGAAAGTTGTACGCCCCCACGGCTGTCCTCACTGCAGAACTGCAGAGGGTTTTAAGCTCCTTATTACCTGTTTCTTATAACCCTGTCCCTTTCCAGGCGAGTATTTATTGGATATTTCTACTTGTTTTATCAAACTTCCTTTTCTTTTGACTTTATAAAAAGCAATGCCGGGAGGCTGAGGCAGGAGAATCGCTTGAACCCGGGAGACGGAGGTTGCAGTGAGCTGAGATCTCGCCATTGCACTCCAGTCTGGGCAAGAAGAGCGAAACTCTGTCTCAAAAAAAAAAAGAAAAAAAAAAATGCTCGTCCTTAAAATTATGTGCAGAAGCTTACTGAAAAGTACAAGTTACTATTTTTCCTTCTGAAGTACTCCTCACAGATAACCTTAAAATGCTTAAAACACGTAATTGTTGAATGAATAAATGCCCCTCAGTGAATTTCCTTTGCCGTTACAAACATATATGTACATACCTTGCTTTTTCTGTTTAACAGTACACTTTTATTTAACATCTGCGTGGTATAGTATTCCATCCGATGGTTGTATTATTAACCACTCCGCTATTAATAGACATTCATGTTGTTTGTATTTTTTGGTTATTATAAACATTGTTGCAGGCGAGATCATTGAACAACACATGGAGTGTCTGACTCAAGCCTTGAGTTTTTTCGGGAGCTGAGAATCAGTGTGATGTGGAAAGAAGATGAGCTTGGAATCTGAAGGTAGTGGCCAGGGAGAAGAGCTGCTCATGTGCTCCCAATAGAAAGTCCCTCTTGGTCTGTAAGGTTAGGGCTATCCTCTGACTCAGCAATTTTAGGAAACTGAGAAGGAAGCCTCAGTGGAGCCACCAGGGAGGCACACCCAGCCCTGACCAGCCAGTGGTCCTCCCAGCTCATCTTCACAACCTGGGCTGGAGTGGGGAAGACTTTTGTTCCAGTGCTAGCTTTGGAATCCTGGCCTCCATCCCTTAAAAGCTTTGTGATCTTAGGTAAGTCACATCACACTATCTCAGAGCCCCCGGTTCCTCACAGAATGGTTGTTTTAGAGTTATGTTGGTAAATTACCTGGCACATACAGGCATGTGACAGACTGTAACCAATGTTACTCAAGGTCATTTTGCACTGATTCATACTTTGAGCCATTTCCTACTGTAGACTCGCACACATTTTCAAGGTAGCTTCCTGATAATAGGGTTGTGGGATATTTTTGGGAAATAAATCCAAATTGGCCATTAAAACCAGATTCCTGACTTTGCCTGGATGTGTCATCTGGAAAGCAATCTGCATGAATTCCTTCATTTCTTTGGTAACTATTTAATGAGTACTTATGTGCCACGGATTGCAGAGGGTATAAGAACAGAGCCTTAGGCCGGACGCGGTGGCTCACGCCTGTAATCCCAGCACTTTGGGAGGCCGAGGCGGGAGGATCACGAGGTCAGGAGTTCAAGACCAGCCTGGCCAAGATGGTGAAACCCCGTTTCTACTAAAAATACAAAAATTAGCCAGGCTCGGTGGTAGGTGCCAGTAATCCCAGCTACTCGGGACGCTAAGGCAGGAGAATGTCTTGAACCCGGGTGGCAGAGGTTGCCGTGAGCCAAGATCGCACCACTGCACTCCAGCCTGGGTGACAGAGCAAGACTCTGTCTCAAAAAAAAAAAAAAAAAAAAAGAAACAGAGCCTTTTCCCTCTAGTTTACAGCCTCAGCAGAGTTAAGACATACTCATGAGGAAATTGAAAGTGTAAGACAATACAGTAGATAGAAAAGCTGTCAAATATGCAGTCTAGACTTCAGAGGAGGAAAGCTATAGCTTTTAGTTAGAATGATGGGGAGAAGATTTCATCATAAAAATGTCATGATGGCACTGGAATAGGAGAGCTTTGAGTGTTTATTTAGACAGTCCCTGTCACAGCCTATGAGAATCATTTGGCTTGGAGGGGGAATTCCCTGCAGGCCAGAGTATGTGCCTGGCATCTCAAAATGAATCTTTCAGCACATTTTCCTCTGGAAACGTTGTTACACATTTATTTAAACTACAGTTCAATGATGAATTATGTTAAGCTGTCTTTCTCCTTGTCACCATATACATATGTAAACTTGTGACCTAAAGGATCAGTGTGTCCCATAATGGGAAACTGTTCCACTGCTCTGAACAGCTAACTTACAGATGAACTTTTGCAACACCACCTGTTTGCACATTAGAAACTGTTAATACGATGAGGAGGCATTGAAAGTTTTTGAGCAAAGATGCAATCTCAAAATATTTTAGCGAAGTAATCTGGCAGGAGTATGCAGGATGGATTTCAGCTGCAGAGCTTTAAAGGTTATTGCTGAAGACTGGGTGTAAGGTAACAGGGACAGATGCAAAAGAAAATATGCAAACTTATAAAGCAGACAAAGCTTCCAAAAAAAAATCACATAATTTACCTGGTAACTGGATTCATTCCTTAATTTAGTAAATATTTGCACAGTGGCCTGGTGCAGTGGCTCACGCCTGTAATCCCAGCACTTTGGGAGGCCGAGGCGGGTGGATCACGAGGTCAGAAGATTGAGACTATCCTGGCTAACATGGTGAAACCCCGTCTGTACTAAAAATACAAAAAAATTAGCTGGGCGCGGTGGCACATGCCTGTAGTCCCAGCTACTCGGGAGGCTGAGGCAGGAGAACCACTTGAACCCGGGAGGCGAAGGTCGCAGTGAGCCAAGATCGCATCACTGCACTCCAGCCTGGGCAACAGAGTGAGACTCCATTTCAAAAAAAAAAAATTGCAGTTACTAGGTGTTAGGCACTGTGCCGAGCACGAGGCTATAACATGAACAAAACAAAGCTCCTGTCCTCATGGAGTTTGTAGTTTAGTGGGGAACAAGTCATTCGCTCATTCGACAAATACTTGAGGGCCTACTGTTATGCCAGACACTGATCTAGGAGCTAACGATTGAGCAGTAAGTAAAATTTTAAAATCCCAGCTTTCATAGAGCTTACATTCTGATAGAGAATATCCAAGTATGTCCAAGGGGAAAAGTAAAGCAGGGAGCACACTGAGGTTTGCAGAAGCAGAGGGTGGAGCCACAGAGGTGGCAGGAAGTTTCGCAGTGGATGAAAAGAGAAACAATGCTTGGTGGTGAGAGCAGTGGGGCTCATGAAGTATTTTTCAGGATAGTGAAAGCAGAGGATTAGGAAATAAGGAGTGAATATTTGGAGGGAAGATGAGCTAAAGGCACTTCAAAGAGCTTTGGGAAGTAAGGTGTCACCAACCAGAAGGCTAAGTGGGTCAAGGAGAGGGGAACCTCAGTCCCTCAAGGGTAGCAGTGTCAGGGATGAAGGTCAGTACACTGGAGATTGGAGGGACCTGTGAAATCCATGTATCAGACAGCAACATGGACTTCAAAGCTGCTAAGTGCTAGGTAGCAAGGGAGGGAATGTGTGCTGTGATCATCCAGGAAGGAAGCAGTGGCTGGTGAATCAGAACTCAGAGAAGGCAGGTAAACCGGCTGACGGACTTTAAATTAGGCGCAAGATGGGGACCACTCAGCATACTGGTCCAAGAGGGAAGGAGATATGACGCCTGGTCTCTCCCTCTGATGGAAGTGGAAATGGGCCCCTTCCACACCTGCAAGCCCGATGCCACACCAAGAAACTTGGCAGCAGGCCTTGCCTTGCCCTTATGTAGCTCCCAGAAATTAAATGAATGTAAGTGCCATGATTCCAGGGACCATCTCTTTATCTTTGTATCCTCTGGAGACCCAGTGCCTGGTAGGTGTTTGATACCTGTTGAGTTAAAGTGAAGCCACATACAGAACGTGAGAGTTGGAAAGAATGTCAGACACAATTAGTTGAACCCTCTCTTGAGTTCACTTTTTGGGTGTGGGCCAAACTTGGGGTCTAACTCAGGGTCAACTTCTTCCCCTGACCTCAAACCGTTTAGTAGAAATTTTCTCACTCAACTTTTATATTATTAGATCAGTGGTTTTGCAAGTGTTGTCAGGACCGCAGGGCTCCCTAAGACCCTTTCAAAGGATCTGCAAAGTCAAAACAGGTTCACAGTACTAAGATGTGATTTGCCTTTTTCACTTTCATTTCCTTACAGTGTACAGTGTTTGCTAGAGCCTACATGACGCGTGATACCACAGCAGACCAAATGCAGAGCTGACATGCGAATCCAGACATTAGAAACCTGAAAAAAATGTGCAACAATGCCACTTGAACAGTTTTGATTTGTTGTTGTTGTTTGTTTTTGAGACTGGGTCTCTTGCCCAAGCTGGGAGTGCAGTGGTACGATCATGGCTCACTGCAGCCTTGACCTCCTGGACTGAAGTGAACCTCCCACCTCAACTTCCTGAGTAGCTGGGACTGCAGGTGCATGCATCACTATGCCTGGCTTTTTTTTTTTTTTTTTTTTTTTTTTTGAGATGGAGTCTTACTCTGTTGCTCAGGCGGGAGCTGGAGTGCAGTGGCATGATCTCAGCTCATTGCATCCTCTGCCTCCTGGGTTCAAGTAATTCTCCTCCCTCAGCTTCCTGAGTAGCTGGGATTATAGGTATATGCCACCATGCCCAGCTAATTTTTATGTTTTTAGTAGAGACGGGGTTTCGCCATGTTGGCCAGGCTGGTCTTGAAATCCTGACCTCAGGTGATCTGCCCACCTCGGCCTCCGAAAGTGCTGGGATTACAGGTGTGAGCCACTGCGTCTGGCTGCTTTTTTTTTTTTTTTTTTTTTTAATTTTTAAATTCTTTGTAGAGACAACAGTCTCACTATGTTGCCCAGGCTGGTCTTGAACTCCTGGCCTCAAACCATCCTCCCACCTCAGCCTCCCAAAGTGTCAGGATTATAGGCGTGAGCCACCATGCCTAGCCCGGTTTTGACTCCTAAGATGCTAAATATTAATAGGTAAGATAGATATACACAAGAGCTCTTTGGTGTTGTCAAAAAAAAAAATTCAAAATATAAAAGGATCCTGGCTGGGCACAGTGACTCTCACCTGTAATCCCAGTACTTCGGAAGGCTGAGGAGAGCCTGGGCGACAAGAGTGAGACTCCATCTCAAAAACAAAATTAGCCAGGAGTGGTGGTGCATGGCTGTAGTCCTAGCTGCTCAGGAGGCTGAGGCAGGAGGATCACTTGAGCTCAAGAGTTCGAGGTTGCAGTGAGCTGTGATCACATCATTGCACTCCAGCCCGGTGACAGAGCAGTACCCTGAATGTAAATAAATAAAGGAGTCTTGAGGGCAAAATATTTGTGAAACACTAGATTCAATGCAGCACCCCAGCTTCCTATCTCCCTTTTTTTGTGGGAATCTTAAGTGGTAAGAAGGAGCTAATGTAAATACATTCAAAACCCACAGCTTTCTCTTGTGGGACTGCGGGGAACAGCTCGGGGCACAGCTCAGAGGAATTATCATGCACTAATTGTCCCTGTGACCAGGCCGCCATCTCACTAGAGAAATAGCTCACAGGAGGGAACCTGACAGGGACTGGGGTATCCATTCAGGCACAATCAGGAAGGTCTCACCTAGAAATCCCACTAAGGCAATCATCCCTCGGACCAGTTTTTCCAGTTTCTTGAGCTGTGTTGACATCAACACCCCTTCCCCTGGGGCAGGCAGCAGGGACCCCTCCTAACAGAACCTAGGGGCAACTCAGTCACCCTGTGAAATAACTGGGCTCCACCTTTTTAAAAAGTGAAACCCAGTCACATGCCAAGAACTTGTTTCTTTTGTTACATTCACCTTCCAAATTATTTTTAGCATGCCCCTGGGGCTTGGTGAGCAGAGAATCAAGAAATACGGGTTTTTCCCAGTTCTGCCAACATGACCTCAGAGATGCTCCTTTCCACCTGTACCTCACCTTTACTCTTCATAAAATAAAGACCACGTCCTGCCAGCCTCTTTCACGACTGTAGGAAGCACCGATGTAACGTGCCTTCCTGCCCATGCACAGTGGAGACCATCTGTGTGCTGGTGTATGTACACTCAGCATTTTGGAGAATCAAACATAGCCACCATCATAATTTCTCAAAAGAAATCTCATTCCCCATCATCCTTGTTTCACTGTCACCATCCATGTATCCAGAACCTCCTATGTGTGCCTGGCTCTGTGCAAAGTGCATTATGTCATTCAACGCAGATGACAACGCGGTGAGACTTAGCTGTCAAGATGAGGAGATGCGCTCAGAGGTTAAGGAACATGGTCTAGGTCACACAGCTTAGTATTAAGCAGAGAAATTAAGGTTCCAACCTGTCCTGGAAGTCCCTGTGGCTGCACTATCCTGCACTAGAACTTGAAAGCGATATCTACATTTCCTTTACAATATTTTAGAACCTAGACCTTTTAAGTTAGATTGGTTCCTTTTTCCTCATTGAAACACATCCACAGAGCCACACATTGAGGAAAAACATTCCTAACTGCCAATTGTGTTTAAAAATCTACTGTCGGCCGGGCGCGGTGGCTCAAGCCTGTAATCCCGGCACTTTGGGAGGCTGAGACGGGCGGATCACGAGGTCAGGAGATTGAGACCATCCTGGCTAACATGGTGAAACCCCGTCTCTACTAAAAATGCAAAAAACTAGCCGGGCGAGGTGGCGGGCGCCTGTAGTCCCAGCTACTCGGGAGGCTGAGGCAGGAGAATGGCATAAACCCAGGAGGCGGAGCTTGCAGTGAGCTGAGATCCGGCCACTGCACTCCAGCCTGGGCGACAGAGCGGGACTCCGTCTCAAAAAAAAAAGAGAAAGAAAAATCTACTGTCAAATAACGTCTCCAATCCCTGCACCCAAAAACTGTCAACTCCGCAGCCTCCTTGCCACTCTCCCGTCTTCCAGCATCACAGTATTGGACAAAGAGAATGTACCTGAAGGTCTGGTTCCTTGAAGGGTTGCGTGAACCATGTTTTAACAATAACCCCCCCACCGCCTTTATTTTTTGAGACGGAGTCTCGCTCTGTCCAGGCTGGAGTGTAGTAGCGCAATCTTGGCTCACTGCAACCTCCACCTCCTACCTCAGCCTCCTGAGTAGCTGGGACTACAGGCACCCATCACCAAACCCAGCTAATTTTTGTATTTTTAGTAGAGACAGGGTTTCACCATGTTGGTCAGACTGGTCTTGCTCCTGACCTGAGGTGATCCGCCCGCCTCGACCTGATTCCCCTACTTTTTAAATCATCTTGCTGCCCATGATTCCTGAGGCTCCCAGAGTTAGGCGAAGGTTTGGGAATGCTCAGTTTATAACTCTTTCAGTTTTCTCTGGATTAGTTAAGAGAATATGACTTCATCACTGACTTTCAGACTCAAGGAAGAGAAAGACAGACAGTCTCCTCTGGAAGATCACTGTGAGTCTTTGAGAATACTCTGCTTTCTCTAAAGACTTTCCCAGCCAGTGTCCTGTTAAACGGAGTGAGGTCTTCCTCCCCACAGCCTGCAGAGCAGCTGGGTAGGGCTGCAGGTGGGTGGCGTCCCTGGGCAAGGCAGCTGGAGCCATTCACCTAGTGTGCTGTACACATACTCATTTCCTGTATGTACCTGGATGGGAAAATTCTGGAGGCTCCGCTCTAAAGAATGAAAAATGCTGATGGCTAACTAGCTGTCATAGGAGAAGAGAAAGACTAAAAATAGAGGTCTGGGGACAGACTGCCATTTACTAGCCATATGGCCCTGGGTGAGTGGCCTCTCTGTGCCTCAGTTTCCTCCTCCAGAAAATAGTATCGAGAACCTGCTTCATAGAACTGTTAAGAGGATTAAATGATACCAAATGTCATCTGTTGTTAAGTACCATTAACCTAGAGAGTACCACCACCTAGAGAATAACTTTGAGAATAAATTTTTAGAGCTTCTCTTCCAAATTCCTCATTGTACAAATGAGGAAACTGGCCCAGGGAGGTCAGATGACTTGCCCAAGGGAAAACAGCTGTACCAGCCTCCAGGACAAATAGCTTCTGCTTCTCTGCTGCTAACCTCAATGTCCCCAGGGTGCTTGGTCTGGGCTGCTGTTCTCAGGATTGCTAGGACTTTGGGCTGACAAGGTCCTTTCTGCTGGCTCCCCTGGCATGTCCACAACAGCCCTTCATGGCTCACTTCCTGGGAGCTCACACTCTCCTTCCAGACTTGGAATGCAACTCAATATGCTCTGGGAGCCTTTGAGTCATCCCAACTGTCAGTCAAGCTCCATCCATTCCGAACAGAGAGCGCTCATCCTCCTCCGGTTTCTGGAACTGGAATCTGGTGTTTTTCCTTTGGATTTTGCTTAATGAGTGTCTGATACCTCTTAAGTATGTGAGGTTCCCCTCCCAGTTGCAGAATGGGGGCTAAAAGCCACAGGTGGATATCAGCATCTGATCCAAGACCCTGGAGGAAACAGTGAAGATGGCCTCAGGCTTAACAGGTTTCCCAGCCCATGCCCTCAACAGAAACTTTGCCTGTCTCTCCCCACAGCTGACCGGTGGAGGGGAGCACATTTGCAGACAGCCTGATGGACACATGCCCTTGGCAGCTGGGAGGATGCTGATGACCATCCGAATTTCACAGGCAGAGAACGGTTACCATGGCTACCAAAAGTTGTAGCCATTGGCTGTTTTGGCTACGAGGACTCAGCTGACCTCTCAAGGTCCCTTCCAGCCCTGGGATTCTACAATTACCTCGAGCCAGCTGACACCATGTCTGCTGTAAGAAAATAGGGCTCGTGAGAAGTGCCTTAGAGGTCACCTTGTCTTATTCATCAGAAGTGTTGAGTCACAGGCCTACTTTCTACCTTGGCTGCATTATTAATAACCAAAGTTTTGCTTTTTTTGGCATAGCATTTGTATACCTTTTATAAACTGAGTTTGCCACCACCACTTTTTCTCTTCCTTTTACAGTTCAGGCCAGTAATTTTGACAGAGGTTTGTCCTGTATTGTGGCCAGGGAACAGCCCAGAAAAACTTGCGTCACTAGGCCCAGTGGGGTGTGCTTCATCAGACAGAATGTGTGTGTCACGAGCCTTCTAAGAATCAGGAGGAAGGAAGTCATTCATAAAGGAGGCAGATGCTGAAATGCAGCTTTGGTTTCCTCTTGCAAGTCCTTCAACTATAGGAATGTGGCTCTTATTCACAGCGGGGCTGGATTTCTCTTTACAACCTGAGTACCAGAAGCTCCCTACCTTTCCAAGTCAGAACAGAACAGGAAAGTGGCTAATTTGACCTTTGCATTCTCCACACTGAGGGAGATCATAGGCTGGGCTGCATACCTCTCAAAACCCAGCCACAGGACAGAAGTCTACACGGATTCCTAGGACTTTTGAAAGCAGGGGAGAGATATGCCCAGAAATCAGAGAACTGTGAATACTTACAAAAACAGTTGCAAACCTTTCCTTATTCCTGATGCAGGAAGCTTCATGTTTAATGGGTGTTTGGAGATTTTTAAAAATCTGTTTATATCAAGATTAAATCAAAGCCTTTATTAAACATTCCTCTTTCAAACAGCCTTTCAAACCTATACCCCTCCCCAGACTTGGGAACTGCCAGAGCTGTGGATCATTTTCATCTGACAGGGGTCAGATCCAATCAGACCTCACAATATTGAAAAGCCAAGCCAGACACACCACACTGGGCAGACATCCACCGTCTGTGCCCCACTCAGGATCTAGGCAAAAGGTTGGTAGCGCCAGCTCTCAAACCAGAGCTCAAGCACAGGAGAAGAGGAACCCGCAGTCTGACCCTGCTATTATAGTTCCAGACCTAGCCATGCTAAACTGGACAAACAGCTCCTGGGCTGCCATTTGCTGAGGCGCATGCGTGTGCTTTTCCTTCTCTTCTCCACAGGAAAAGGTGAGAGATGGAGGAGGCAATTTTCAGTTGTGTGTGGGTTTGATTTAAGGCTTTGGCTGTGGTCTATTGATATATTAAAATACTTTCTGGGAACGCCATCTTCCAAGCTCCCCATCGGAACAAATGTATTTTCAAAAATGAAAACATTGAGCAAAGATGTGGAGCGGCAAATGCTGCTGTGGGCCCAGGCCTCTCATGTCAGGATGGTGTCGTCCACCTGCTCCATGGAGTCGGCCTGGCTGGCCAGCTTCTTCAGGGACCTTCGGTTAACCTCGTTCAGCACCTCCAAACTGGCCACATCCAGGATCTTGGAGAGGGACTGTGGGGAAGGATGAGTGGGAGGAAACATAGTCAGAAAATACAGCTGCCACGTTCTCCAATGGGAGAAAGACAAAAATCAATTAACCCCAGAACTAGAGACACTGAGGTGGAATTTGGCAAAATAAGGGAATCAGATGGATCCAGGGAAAGCCCATTAAAACACTCATCATGCTTTTCTATTTTTCCCTTTTTCATAGAATCAGGGTCTCACTGTGTTGCCCGGGCTGATCTTGAACTCCTGGGCTCCAGTGATCCTCCCACCTCGGCTTCCCAAAGTATTGGGATTACAGGCATGAGCCACCACACCTGGCCCCATCATGCTTTTCATGAGACGAGGCAGTGGGAGTTGCAGCTTTGGGGCTTTTTTTTTTCTTTTTGGACACGGAGTTTTGTTCTTGTCACTCATGCTAGAGTGTAAAGGCACGATCTCAGCTCAACACAACCTCCGCCTCCCAGGTTCACACC